ACAAATTAATTAATGTATTTACGACTGTATAGCTTGACAAGCTTAGAGAACCTGTTACAGGTTCTTTACTAAACTAATTCGATTATTCTGTTGGACTTGAAAATTTAATCAATAAATACAATGAAATTATTTTTTGTCCTCCAGGGAGTTTCCTGAGTGCTTGGATGCGTTGCCATTCACATGTTTTTTTAACAACATTGTTAGGGCTAAAAACGTGCTATAATTCTGAATAATTGGCCTGTGAAAATTATTTCTTCGTAGTTCTGCTACAATATAAGGAGAGTAAATTCCAACCATTGGACGTATTTGCTTTATTTCTGGCAAGTGAAAACCTGCCACTAATTTTTAATTAGTTAGCGTAGACCGCCTCGTAGAGGTGACAAGACTACAAGCTTAACTATGGGCGAATTTCATATATAGAAGTTGGTAGAGAGGGGAGGGGGTTGAAGCTGATATTACTGTTGAAGTTGATGTTGCTATCCCATGCTTCATGCTATTAAACGTAGCAGGCGTGCTGAATTGATCTCGGTTTATACGAGGCGATTATTGTATAGCTGCGGCCGTTGCTGCTGCACAAACCACAAACCGGTTTTGCCTGATTTATGCGCCGGTTTTGTTGTTCCAGGCAAACGTGCCGTGGCGTCCCAGTCGGTTTCTGGTGTGTGCAAAGTTCCTGGTTGATGATCATTCGCGTCTCCCGGATCCGGTTCTTTCTTTTTAAAACGTACATCTAATTTTTTCATGTTTTCTAGTCCTTGTAATTCTAGTCTAGGTTGTAAATTCTTTGAAATTCCGAACGGTTTCTGCTAACAGAATTTCAGTTGTGATGGAATAATTCTAGCCTCTGATCATAAGTAATCAGTGAACAGTGTTTATCCTATTAATTAATTGATACGCACTATAATTAATTCATTATCAGATCCAAATAAAAATTAATGTGCACTTAATCATATTTCTATATGCTATATGGTGATTTACATGCAGCTGCTGGCCTCGTGAGGGCTCAATTTTTTTACGCTTGTCATTTATTTCAATCTCAAATTAGAGATACTATATTATATACATTAGGAATCGTTCGTCGGCATCATTATGTAAATTTTAATGATGTACCTTCAATTTCGCATTCCGAGCTCGATTAATTTTTATTTTTACTTGTATCCGTTGTTTTAAAGTTTCGTTATCTCATACTCCTGTCTGTAGTTAATGAACCTGAAGCACCATTTTTACTTAAACGAAAATAGTTTAGGAATCAGAAAATACACCGTCATGTTGTATAGGCTTTAGCTTACCACATATTCACTGTATTGTTCATCTTTAGGTCTCTTCTCCTTCATAGTACATGAACCTCTAATTATGATGGAGGCTACAACCCCGACACCTCGTTACCCTCTCCTAAAAAGGGTATATAGGTACTCTTAACACGTGGCCTATAGTCTTGCTCCCTTTTGTTTGTTCAATGAACGAACGAAGAAAAAACAGTATTCTATTTTCGCAAGGCAATTTGCTTGGCGCGCGTTTGAAAAGAATCCACCTTTATTGATGTTAAAGTGTTCATTATTTTAAACATATGCTAAAATTTAATTTTGAAACATGTTAACTTGCTTCACAATATGTTCCGGCATTGAAAAAATGGATGGCCAGCTCTTTTAATTATTGTTTCGTCGAAGTAAAATCGGTTCTAGTTTGTAACACATTTTTGTGTGCAGTCTCTGAATGCATACCGCGCTCAAGACTTAATAAAAACTTATAGCTCGAGATGGAATTTTGAACATTCCATTTGAAGTAAAGGAACGCATTTAACTGCTGTCATGAATTCAAGTTTTTCCTTATAGTGTTCATCCATTAAATTTGTTTTCTTGTAGTGGCCACGAATATACAGCGCAATATTGGAGACTTTCTATTGGAGGCCTGAAAAATAAACTAAAATGCGGTTCTGTTAAATTGCTCATGATTTCTTACGTACAGAGACGATCAGAATATCTTTAATGATATCAACAAGATGTTAAATCTGTTTACTATAACCTTCCGTGTGAGCTTCATCAATTTATCTAATATAATTAACTGTGGGACAAAACATCGATAATTTAACCTTTTACTGCCACCAACATTGCACTGCGATCTGCATAGAGAGCTGCACGCGATCACAGCCGACATGAAGTGAGTCATGGCAGCGTGACTCGGCAACCCGGCGTGATGCTGCTAACTCTGCATCAGCGTAGGCGTTTGCTCATTTGTTAACGTGCCTTCCAGTTGATCCCAACTCAATACTGCACCAGTTACTGTAATAATGCAGTAAGGCGTCAGTTCCGATATTGCGGTACACATCACAAGCTGGAAGCGCGTTTTCTGAAGAAATCCGTGGCCCATTGATGTAAGAATTTATTTATTTTAACATTATTTGTCCCGTTACTGCTTGATGGGACGGCCACGGGCTTGAACTAAAAAAATATATTTCTATATATAGATGGGTCATAACGTCCAAATGCTGACGCACTTTCTGCACGTGACTCTTTTTTTTGTGGGGCAAAATTAGGTTAGGATGACCCACACGCAAGAAGAACATCGCTATTTGGGCAAAGTCCCATTTCTCTCTGCGTATATAGACGCGTACTGCACTTTGCCACGAGCATCGCTTAAGCTGCTGAATGACCAGGCGGTGATCGAATGTCGGGGTGTTTGTTTGACGTTTAAATGGCTTCTAGGTTCGTCGTTCTGTTTATTTTGGGTGTGTTTGTCAATGACATTGTGTGCCCAGCAACACAGCTTGTAGCTTGTGGGGAAATGAAGCGCGTGAAACACCTTTCCTATAAAACCGCGCTGATTAGTTCTATTATGCGTGTTGATAATACGATTTTGAGGGGTCGCGCATTGAAGTTAAACATGTCAGCTCTGTACATTTAATTATGATTGAAGTATGTGTGTAATTGGACATATGATCGAAGTGTCCATGCGAATTTTGCTCACTTAGAGTTTCCCATTGAGACACGAGTGCCCACACTCTGTTCACTCTGCGATCGACGTGAAATAAAGATGATCGCATGATTGCTCAATCACAGAAGTAGGACGTGTTGACATACTGGAACTGTTTTTGAGCCAACTCTGTTCACTCTGAGACGTCGTATGTGTGGCTTAATTGACGTGCTCATGCCAGCTCTGTTCACTCTGAGACGTCGTACGTGTGGCTTAATTGACGTGATTATGCCAACTCTGTCAACTCAGACGTCGTATGTGTGGACTTAATTGACGTGCTCATGCCAACTCTGTTCACTCTGAAACGTCGTACGTGTGGACTTAATTGAAGTGATTATGCCAGCTCTGTTCACTCAGACGTCGTATGTGTGGACTTAATTGAAGTGATTATGCCAGCTCTGTTCACTCAGACGTCGTATGTGTGGACTTAATTGAAGTGCTCATGCCAACTCTGTTCACTCAGACGTCGTATGTGTGGACTTAATGACGTGCTCATGCCAACTCTGTTCACTCAGACGTCGTATGTGTGGACTTAATGCCATGCTCATGCCAACTCTGTTGACTCATACGTCGTATGTGTGGACTTAAATTGACGTGCTCATGCCAACTCTGTTCACTCAGACGTCGTATGTGTGGACTTATTGCCATGCTTATGCCAACTCTGTTCACTCAGACGTCGTATGTGTGGACTTAAATTGCCATGCTCATGCCAACTCTGTTCACTCAGACGTCGTATGTGTAAACTTAATTGACGTGCTCATGCCAACTCTGTTGACTGAGACGTCGATGTGGACTTAATTGACGTGCTCATGTCAACTCTGTTCACTCTGAGACGTCGTATGTGTGGACTTAATTGACGTGTTCATGCCAACTCTGATCCCTGAGACAGTACGTGTAGAGTTTGCCCTCGAGAGCGCTGCGTTGGCAGATGACAGTAACTCTGGCGCTTATCTGCGCGGTTGTTGTGCCAGGCTCTCAGATAAGGCAATTAATGAAGGCGAGTATTCACTCAGAACATTGAATGGGTCATTTTGTCCAACTAGTGACACGTGCTTGCTCATAGTAGGAGCAGACAGGCACTGAAACACTCTGTTGCAAACACGCCACGTAGCACTGCTATACACTCTTTTGCCGGGTCAAACTGGATTAGATTGACGGCTGCATGGAAGTGCATCGGTACTTGGAAAAATAGTCTCCCTTATTTCTATGAGTGCTGCTTCGCTGATCAAGCGTGGGCTTGTGATATTTGCAGTAATATTTTGATTATATTCGTTATATATTGCCGACTGTCATTTCCTGATTTATTTCAATATTAGTAATGAAATGATGACAACGGTAATAAAAGATTGGAAATTACTTTAAATCTCCAAGCATGTTTATATTGTAGAAATACGTAGATATCTTAGACATCGAATGATGAATTTCGGTAGTTTGTCATTAGATAATAAAACTTGAAGGTATGAGGTGAAGAATTTGCGAATGTGCGTATTTAAATTCTTATGGTCATACGATAAAAATATTTCGCGAACTAAATAATTTAATCGATGGTAATTCTGCAATCCCTGATGGATATACCTATAAATTTCATTTCTAATTTCATTTCCATTTCAATGTGCAAATTCACTAATAACCTTGAACCGTAAGTTGTCGTGACAGGCCAAATTGATGAGAAGTCTACGCAAATTAATTCATTCCTTGCAAAGCTTGAGCCGCGGTCTTGAGGAGCTCGCACGCCAGGCTGGATACGCGGCGTGATGGAGGAGCGTATCCTTCGTATCCTTGTAAGGCGCTGGGAGGGTAAGGAGCGAGTCCTGCTTTGCATAAAGTTCCTGTGATACTGGCGCTACCTGAGCCGTTATCAGGGCTGCAGTGTAACGCTCAAAAAGGGTGGCTACTGAAATGGTCTTAGCAATGGTGCTACCTGAGCCATTATCAGGGCTACAGTGTGACGCTCAATAAGGGTATGATTATTTTTTGTACTAATGAGCAAACGATATTCAAGTGTATAAGTAAGAAATGATTTATTTTGGCAGGTGGTGCGTGCGGCGATGGCTGTGAGGTGGTACAGCGCAGTGCTGCAGGTGGCGCTGCTATACCAGCTCTGCGTCAGCTCTACCGGCGCTGTGAATACACAACGTGAGTGCAGGGGCCATATTTTCAAAACTCGCTAAGTGAACGTAAAAACTTACGCTCTATTTTCTTGTCTATGATTGGTGGATTTTGCTTGAAAAGCCGTCAATAATTGGCTGATGAACTTACGATCTCTTAACTTTTTTTGGGCCTGTATGGTTAAGAGATCAAGTATGGGCCCTGAACATGACTCTTGTTTTTACTCAGTAATGTTTTTGTTAATATGAATAGTTTGACTTGATGATTGACGGTGTATTTATAATTGAGAATTATAGTAAACCAATGAAGCTCATATCTTTTAACCAAATGTGAAATATTCTGAGTGAAATATATTAATTTGATCTTTAATCATATTACTGCCAAAATATTGTAACATGTGACATCTCAAGCATATGTAACACGCTACTTGGTAACAAACGCTGGCACAGATATTGCACAACAGCTTCATGGTCATTATTGTAACAATTAGTTATTGTCGTTCAGTCATGAATTTAATCACGTGCATAACATTATTTAGATGACACGCAAGTACGTATACTGCATTACACATACGGCAGAGTCAACGTATAATTTATACCAACACGAGATCACGAATGAGGTACCTACTAATTCGTCTACGACGATTTGTCGTTAAAATTCGTTAAAATGCTTGCCATCTTTAGCATTATTCGCAACAAACTGATAATATTTCAGCGTTATGTTAAAGCCAGTGCGGTGTTTAATTCATTAATTTATTATACAATTCATTATATAATTCATTATGCAATTCATTATACAAATCATTCAATTCACCACACAATTCATTATATATTTCAGTGCCCCCTCGACTGAGCGCGAGTACGAGCGAGGTGCGCGTGCGTGAGGGCGAGACCGGCGTGGTGCTCGAGTGCATCCTGGACGTGGGCGACGACCCCATCAAGTATAGGTGGCTCAAGGTGGGACGTCGTGATGGATGGTAACGTTCTGCGTCATGACGGACGATAACGTTTTGCGTCATGACGGACGATAGCGTTTTGCGTTATGACGGACGATAACGTTTTGCGCCGTGACGGACGATAACGTTTTGCGTTATGACGGACGACAACGTTTTGCGTTATGACGGACGATAACGTTTTGTGTCATCACGGACGATAACGTTTTGCGCATTGATGTTTTGCGTCGCATTATAAGCTAAAGCTTTCCGTCATGACGGATTGGTTAACCCTTTTTTGTCACGTCTGACGCTATCCTTTCTTATGATAGACGTTAGCCTTTTTCGTTATTGTTTACGCCAACGTTGTGTCATGATGGTCGCTAACCTTTTTTATCATGACAGACGCCAACCATTTTTTATCCAAACGAACGCTGGCCTTTCATATCAGTACGGATACCAACCTTTCCAATTATTACCGGCTTAACCATCAAAACCTCTTGAGTCACCACTTCACTTAATTGGTTCGCTACTTCCAATAGACACGATATGCTTTCTTACCAAATTTAATAAGAATGTTTGGAAGACTTTTCTTTTTTTTTTGTTTGACGTATCTTGTGCCGCTATGAGTGTCAAGTGTGGCAACTGATGAGTAGAGCCTATTTCCCAATTATCCAAGAGTATTGTATAATCAGCTATTCTCCCCAGAGAATATATTAGTTATGTATCAGTTAACTGAAATGTAAGGGAAGCTCATCATGTTTCATTGACTGAAGGCCCCTTGCAGTATTTCGAACTGAAAGAACCTGATCAAATATTAATTATTTGCAACCAATTTAAACCATAATAACTGAATGAGCTTCATAAATTCATCAAGTATCACTAACTAAAAGTAACCAACTCCAAGTGATACTAGTAATGACCCCGCTAAGTAAAGTTGACCGTTCAAAGGGCCGTTTGACCTAACGACCGCTATATTGCTTCGTTGATGGCGCTGTTACGATTCGCCTCTGTACTTTTTGACGAGATCTTTCGCAGGCTATTTATATTTTATTGTGAAGCATACTTCGTGAAATCGCTCTTTGATGAATTCTTACAATTTATGTTGAACTATATATTTGTATTGGCTCTTTACGAATCTAAGTGTTTTCACCATCTGGCCGTAAGTAACCATCTGGGAGTGAGTGCTTCTATTTTTATGCCATAGCTTACGTATCAGATCCACCTGTGGGTGTATACGGGTTGTATCTTAGAAACACCTGAGTTTTGGGTTGAAACTTAGAACCACATGAGTTTTGGGTCGAAACTTAGAACCACTTGAGTTTTGGGTTGAAACTTGGAACCACCGGCGTATTGGGTTAAAACTTAGAAGACCTGCGTTTTGGGTTGAAACTTAGTACACCTGCGTTTTGGGTTGAAACTTAGAACCACCTGAGTTTTGGGTTGAAACTTAGAACCACCTGAGTTTTGGGTTGAAACTTAGAACCACCTGAGTTTTGGGAGTATACGGGTTGTATCTTAGAACCACCTGAGTTTTGGGTTGAAACTTAGAACTACATGTGTTTTGGGTTGAAACTTAGAACCACCTGCGTATTGGGTTAAAACTTAGAAGACCTGCGTTTTGGGTTGAAACTTAAAACACCTGCGTTTTGGGTTGAAACTTAGAACCACCTGAGTTTTGGGTTGAAACTTAGAACCACCTGCGTTTTGGGCTGAAACTTAAAACCATTTACGTTTTGGGTTGAAACTTAGAACAACTTGCGTTTTGGGTTAAAACTTGGAAGCACCTGCGTATTGGGTTGAAACTTAGAACCACCTGCGAGTTGTGTTTCGACTCAAAACCACCTGCGGTTTGGAGTGTTTGAACCACATGTGGACTACGGTCACGATTAATTTTCATGTTCGTGTATTGTATTCAAAGTGACATTTATTTAAAATTCAGATTCAAGTTCAAGCTGGACCGACGTAGCAACGTTCAAATAACTTCCGTGTTGTTTTTGGTTAGCATCACGCAAACTTTTTAGCGCATTTTCTCATTTATGGAAAAAAGGCGCTATTGTGCTCGCCATGTCCGTTCGTCCGTCCGTCCGTCCGTCTGTCCGTCTGTCCGTCCGTGACTTCACGTTTTCGTTGGCGAGAAAATTCGCTCTCTGTCACTCACTGCAGTGAGTACTGAGTTATATATTTTCTTAGTTTTATTAAGTTTTGGATTTTGTTGCAGAAACACCTGTGGGTGACGGGCACGCTGGGGTATTCGTACCGGGGGTACAAGCGCCTGCTGCTCGCCCTGCAGACCATCAGACCAGACCACGCCGGCAAGTATGTCTGCGAGGCCAGCAACGCTGCCGGCACTCACACTGCAGAGATCAACGTCGTCGTCGGTGAGACGCTCAGGGGTGACTTTTTTAATTTATTATCAATTAAATTAAAATATCATAATTATCTAAATTGAAGACATTTGTGTTAGGACTTATATCCTTGTTTTGAAGTGTAAAATCCGTGTGACCACTTGAATGCGTTTAGGAAGCTTTGTGTTACACTGACTCGAAGTAACGTGTTTTGTATTAGCGTATTATGTATTAGTAGGTATATTTTGTATTAGCGTATTTCGTATTATCGTATTTCGTATTTTACTATTAGTATATTTTGTATTAGCGTATTTCATATTAGTATATTTCGTACTAGCGTAATTCGTTTTAGTATATTTCGTATAATCGTATTTTGTATTAGTATATTTCGTTGATAGATTCGTATTAGCGTTGCCGTTGTTTGGACAGACGCTGTGGAAGCGACGCCGCCGCCCAATGATGTGCCCATGCCCAAGACCAACGAAGTCCTCAGTGAGTCTTTGGCAGGACCTCATTATATGCAATATATTGTCATATAATTATTTATCATGTACGTATATTCCCCTTAACTGCTTAGCCAGGCTCAAGGATCTAGTTTTATCCAGGATTATTCGCTTGTGGTATCTCTCAACTTGAAAGCTGGAGGTGAGTGAAATTTATAAATTTCGTCTGCCATTGATATCTCAATGATTTGTATATGTATAATCATTGATACAAATATACTTTAAATTACCCAAATCAATCTTAGTACAAATTACCAACAATAATAAAGGATAAAACTTATAATATTCCGCTTACACATAATCTTTATAATGATTAATAGACGAGAAGGAAACATGCACTCAAAGTAATAGGCGAGACGTTGTCTTTCCGCCCCAGTGATTTTTTTTTGCGCTTGTATGGGTCAACCTGAGTCAGTTTGAGGCGACTTTAGATCATATTAGTGTTAGTCCGCTTTCTGTTCTTGTCGTGGGTAAGGAAGTGTTACATTATTTGGACAATATAACCCATTAACTTTATTGAGTGTGTGGTGACAGGCGAAGTGGCGGCGAGTCTGAGCGACGCGCTGGCTGAAGGCGACTGCGCCTGTGACGTCATGTTCCTCATACACGCCTCGCCTGACGCGCCTGCTGACCTCGTCAGCGTCCAGGCGAACCTCGTCAGCACCATCGCCTCCAGCATGTGTGTATTATTATTTACTTTATGAAATTAAATATAAATTTCGTATTCATTCATTTCACGACAGAGAGAATTCTTGTAACCAATTGTTTTTTAGACGTTTTTCAGAGTTTTCATCCAGTCCACAAGTGTTTTAAATCAGTCCTCGACAGCGAGCCTTCTTGTTTTTTGGATGTTTTTCAGAGTTTTCATCCAATCCACAGGTATTTTAATTCATTCCACGACTGAATTACATCATTAATTCTTGTATCAATGAATTTATTGAACGTTTGCAGAGTTTCTGAGGAGGTTCGGGTGGCGGTGATGACGTACTCCGACTACCTGGAGACGAAGCTGCCCCTCAGCGACGGCACCAACTCCTGCGCCCTCAGGAAGGCCTTCGAGGACCTCGACCACAAGATGTGGTCCACCAAACTGCAGCCCGTCCTCAGGGAGGTCTTCAAGAAGTTCAAAAAGTCCACCAGAACCTGCAAACTTCTCTGTTAGCCAACGAAATTGCTATTGTTTCTTTAATGTTTTATTTGTTGTAGGTATATTGATATGAAAAAATTATATCTGATGCCTATTTTTTATCCGATGAAAAATCATATCTCATATCTGTATATACTTTGATATACATGATATTAAATATCATATATGTATGATATTTTATTTTGATCTACATTGATATGAAAAAATTATATCTGATGCCTATTTGCCACAATGAAAAATGATATCTCTGTTATCTCATATCTATATACTTTGATATATATTATATATCATATATGTATAATATTTGATCTTGATATACATTGATATGAAAAAATTATATCTGATGCCTATTTTTTATCTAATGAAAAATGATATCTCATACAAATACTTTATCTTTTAAAAATGACATATGACATTTATTTTTTATGCTAGCCACGTTGACAAGAAATTGTCACCCCAACACCCACATTATCCCCACAGTCCTGCCCGTGATGGGGTCAGCGGGGCAGGAGGGGCCCGACGTGCTGGGGGCAGGGCACCTCAAGAAGGGGGGAGTGAAGGTCTTCCTGCTGGAGGTGACGCGCTCCCCCATCGCGGGGCTCAGGGACATGGCGAGCACCCGCGGGGACGGCAAGCCCCTCCACTGGCGGGTGCCCCTGCCTGTCTGGCCCTCCATCGTCACCTACATGCAGTACATGGCCTGTCTCTTATACACATCTAGATGTGTATAAGAGACAGANGTATGTGTGGCTTAATTGAAGTGATTATGCCAACTCTGTTGACTCAGACGTTGTATGTGTGGACTTAATTGACGTGCTCATGTCAACTCTGTTGACTCAGACGCCGTTTGTGTGGACTTAATTGAAGTGTTCATGCCAACTCTGTTGACTCAGACGTCGTATGTGTAGACTTAATTGACATGCTCATGCCAACTCTGTTAACCCTGAGACAGTATGTGTAGAGTATGCGCTCGAGAGCGCTGCGTTGGCAGCGCTCTGGCGCTTATCTGCGCGGTTGTTGTGCCAGGCTCTCAGATAAGGCAATTAATGAAGGCGAGTATTCACTCAGAACATTGACTGGGTCATATTGTCCAACTAGTGACACATGCTTACCCATTGTAAGAGCAGACAGGCACTGATACACTCTGTTGTATACACTCCACGTAGCACTGCTACACTCTGTTGCCGAGTAAAACTGGATTAGATTGACGGCTGGAAGTGCATCGGTACTTGGAAAAATAGTCTCCATTATTTCTATGAGTGCTGCTTTGCTGATCAAGCGTGGGCTTGTGATATTTGCAGTAATATTTTGATTATATTCGTTATATATTATATATGGTCGACTGTCATTTCCTGATTTATTTCAATATTAGTAATGAAATGATGACAACGGTAATAAAAGATTGGAAATTACTTTAAATCTCCAAGCATGTTTATATTGTAGAAATACGTAGATATCTTAGACATCGAATGATGAATTTCGGTAGTTTGTCATTAGATAATAAAACTTGAAGGTATGAGGTGAAGAATTTGCGAATGTGCGTATTTAAATTCTTATGGTCATACGATAAAAATATTTCGCGAACTAAATAATTTAATCGATGGTAATTCTGCAATCCCTGATGGATATACCTATAAATTTCATTTCTAATTTCATTTCCATTTCAATGTGCAAATTCACTAATAACCTTGAACCGTAAGTTGTCGTGACAGGCCAAATTGATGAGAAGTCTACGCAAATTAATTCATTCCTTGCAAAGCTTGAGCCGCGGTCTTGAGGAGCTCGCACGCCAGGCTGGATACGCGGCGTGATGGAGGAGCGTATCCTTCGTATCCTTGTAAGGCGCTGGGAGGGTAAGGAGCGAGTCCTGCTTTGCATAAAGTTCCTGTGATACTGGCGCTACCTGAGCCGTTATCAGGGCTGCAGTGTAACGCTCAAAAAGGGTGGCTACTGAAATGGTCTTAGCAATGGTGCTACCTGAGCCATTATCAGGGCTACAGTGTGACGCTCAATAAGGGTGCGCTACTGAAATGGTCTTGATAATGGCGCTACCTGAGCCATTATCAGGGCTACAGTGTGACGCTCAATAAGGGTGGCTACTGAAATGGTCTTGATAATGGCGCTACCTGAGCCATTATCAGGGCTACAGTGTGACGCTCAATAAGGGTGGCTACTGAAATGGTCTTGATAATGGCGCTACCTGAGCCATTATCATGGCTGCAGTGTAACGCTCAATAAGGGTGGCTACTGAAATGGTCTTGGTAATGGCGCTACCTGAGCCATTATCATGGCTGCAGTGTAACGCGGACTAGAGGGCTACTTAAATGGTCAACCATTGATAAAAAAATAATGGGCTGCCGAACCATTATTACAATGGGCTGCTATACAACGGGAGGTACGAGGAAAGCGCTCTGTAAAAAATGTCCAATAATTTAGCCCTTGCTTCGTTTCTAAGGCGACCACGTATCACAAAATAAATAGCAACCTCTTAAGTTGCTCTCATGTTAATGGCGCTACCCGCGGCACTAAGCAAGGCTTAGCATGCAAATTAGTTTACACCTAATAGAGCAAAATTGGGCTTTGTTGTGCCGCTAATGTGAAGGCAAGCGCTGCTGCCTAACTTAGAGCACTCATAAACATGGATGGGTCGCTTTGTCCAAATAGTGATAAACTTCCCCCCACGTAGCACTGAAACGCCCTTTATTGGGCCAGAATGAAATGCCCCAAATTGAAGTCAGAATGACCCAAAAAAGGGCAAAAATCGTCATTTTGACATAGTTTCACTCATTTCTCTAAGTGTATAAGGGCAGGCCAGTCCATCTTCAGGCCGTTTCTTATACGCTTGCAGTTTAGGGAGAAAGAACTCCGTTTTACTAAGAAATTACCAACTTCGTATAATAAGACCTCAGTTTACTTAACATATTCGTTTGGTTAAGGCTTGGTTCTTAAGAATTGAACATTGCAATCAGCTTCTTTTCAAAACCGAGACATGATACGGGATGCGGGGCACGAAAAATTAGCTGCCACCGAAAATATATCGCTGATTTTCAATTGAGTTCAGGTCCAGTTCAGTTGGCATATACTTGCATCTGTTTTATTTTCCAATATTCTTCAATCCATCAATTAAATTTGATTATTTTCTAAACTAATGAATAAACGATATTCATACGCATAAGTAAGAAATGATTTATTTTGTCAGGTGCAGGTGCGTGAAAAAAAAACTCTTAGCAGTACTCGCATGTATCTCGCGTTCGTAAGTTACAGCATTCAGGACTGTTTTATTTCCCAATGTTCTTTAATTTATCAATTAAATTTGATTATTTTTTTGTACTAATGAAGAAACGATATTCATGCGCATAAGTGAGAAATTATTTATTTTAGCAGGTGGTGCGTGCGGCGATGGCTGTGAGATGGTACAGCGCAGTGCTGCAGGTGGCGCTGCTATACCAGCTCTGCGTCAGCTCTACCGGCGCTGTGAAATATTGTAACATGTGACATCTCAAGCTCAATATGTATATTAATTTGATCTTTAACCTCATTACTTCCAAAATATTGTAACATATGACATCTCAAGCTCATTATGTATATTAATTTGATCTTTAACCTCATTACTGCCAAAATATTGTAACATGTGACATCTCAAGCATATGTAACACGCTACTCGGGAACACACGCAGGTAGAGATATTGCACAACAGCGTCATGGTCGTTATTGTAACAATTAGTTATTTTCGTTCAAACATGAAGTAAGCATGTTCATAAAATTATTCAGAAGACACGCAAGTACGAACACTGCATTACACATACGGCACAGTCAACGTGGAATTTATATCAACACGGGATAACGAATGAGGTATTTACATATTCGTCTACGACGATTTTTCGTTAAAATTTGATAGATGTTTGCCATCTTTAGCTTTATTCGCAATAAACTTGATAATATTTCAGCGTTATGTTAAAGCCAGTGCGGTGTTTAATTCATTATACCATACACTATACAATTCAGTATACAAATCATTATACAATTCATCATACAATTCATTATACAATTCATTATACAATTCATTATACAAATCATTATACAATTCACCATACAATTCATTATATATTTCAGTGCCCCCTCGACTGAGCGCGAGCACGAGCGAGGTGCGCGTGCGTGAGGGCGAGACCGGCGTGGTGCTCGAGTGCATCCTGGACGTGGGCGACGACCCCATCAAGTATAGGTGGCTCAAGGTGGGACGTCGTGATGGACGATAACGTTTTGTGTCGTGACAGACGATAACGTTTTGTGTCATGACGGACGACAACGTTTTGTGTCGTGACAGACGATAACGTTTTGTGTCATGACGGACGACAACGTTTTGTGTCATGACGGACGACAACGTTTTGTGTCATGGCGGACGATAACGTTTTGTGTCA